ATAATAATAAATAATGATAATTTCAAGTTAATAAATATCATTCAGTCTTTTGATACTAATTCATTTGGCACAAAAAAAAAATAATTATGTCAAATTTTTGAAATAAAAATTAAAACTCTTAATTCTGTTCAATACTTTCTTCAATAAGAGAATATTCGAATTAAAATATCAAATTAAAATTGTTATTTAAATTTATTCAATTTATTGTATAATATTATAATATTATAATTTCTTCAGATATCATTTGCTCAACGTCCAATTGAACAGCATGCAGCGTACATCAACAGCTTCTTAATCGGTCATCCGAATTATGATATCGCTATCAATCAATCATAATTATTCGTCATTTTAATCATTATAAAATGATAATTTATCTTTTTCTTAATTTTCCTAAATCACATAGAAACAATTAATTTCAATTAATTGAAATATTCTTTCTTTTTTTTGTTTTTATTCAAATGATTATATTTTTTTTCTTTGTTAGCATAAATGTTGAAATTGTAAGAAAAGAAAAGTTATCGAATAAAATGATTGTAAGTGTTGATAAGTAATTATTATACTCACTCTAATTAATTAGTTAATTGAGATCATTTTAAATTAATTAAAATAAGAAATTGAATTTTATCACTTAATCAAAATGCTATCAATCTCCCATACTATCAGCCAACTGAATACATCGTATCATTTAATATTTAAAATCATTATTTATTGCTTACTTCTTGTGAGAATGAATATCTATGCAATTTTAAATGCCAGCCATTTTATGTATGTATCTGTGTGTGTACGTCTGTATGTATGTGTATGTGTATGTGTATGTGTGTACATTTGTGTATATGTGCATGTATGTATGTATGTGTGTATATGTATATTTGATAAATAAATCAAATATGCAAATCATTATTTGCTGCTTGCTTCTTGTGAAAATATCTATGCAATTTTAAATGCCAGCCATTTTATGTGTGTATGTCTGTATGTGTATGTGTGTGTATGTTTGTGTGTACATGTACATATATGTATGTATGTATGTGTGTTGAGATAAAAAGAAATTCAATCCTGTATAATTTTATTTTTAAAAATTTTTTGATCAAAATTAATTTATTCCACATTTTCCACTTCTCCAACGATATTTCTCATTTTCCTTCATTCCCTCCTCCCTCCTCACATTCAATTACACTATCGAATCTTTCGTTATACATTAAAATGACGAATATAATCAAATAGAAGAAACAACTGTAAGTATCACATTGAGATGCATTCAACATTGCAGTAAATGTAAATGAATTTTCCGTTTATCTTTTTCTTTTTCAACAATGTTGAAAATTATGTATTAAATATTGAATACATTTTTATAATTACCTTTTATCTACCTTTAATCAAATGATACAAATTAATTAATTAGAATTTAATTTAAGTAAATGTAATAGAAAAACTTGCAAATAATTTTAAATTAAATTTTACACTAATTTATTTATTGAAAATGAAATGACGAATGAAAGGTTAAATTCAAATCATTGATATATGAATAATATATTTACTAACTAAATTTTTTTAAACGATAAATTATTGATGGACGCGTGTGTGTGTGTATGTGTGTGTGTGTGTGTGTGTGTGTGTGTGTGTGTGTATTTGATTGATAACATATGAGAATTATTTATTGATAAAAAAAAGTGAAGAAAGGATTGATTGATTACATAAAATGAATGTTATCTGATCTGATATAAATATACCATATATTAATTAATTACTTTCCACTCTGATTATGATTACTTCTATCAACAACATATAACTGTTATTGGAAGACACGATTTTCGCTCTTATCACAGTAAACAAATATTAAGTGATATTATCATCCTGAAACACTCTGATATTTAATAGCTTGCATCAAATATTCTCGTCTTAAATGATCAAAAATCACTTTGTTCATAATGAATTGATGAATTACTTACTTCGAAAAACATAAAATGATATGAATGATTATTTCAATGATAAGTGATATGAACATTGAAATAACGTAAAAAATGCTTTGTAAATGTTATATATTAAGTTGTTGCATATGAAAAATGCTGACAAACAGAGTGATGTGTAAAATGCTTGTTACCAATTATGCCAATCATTTAAATGCTTGTTATCAGTTATGCCAATCATTTAAATGCTTGTTGCCAATTATGCCAATCATTTAAATGCTTGTTACCAATTATGCCAATCATTTAAATGCTTGTTATCAGTTATGCCAATCATTTAAATGCTTGTTACCAGTTATGCCAATCATCTAAATGCTTGTCACCAATTATGCCAATTATTTAAATGCTTGTTACCAATTATGCCAATCATTTAAATGCTTGTTATCAGTTATGCCAATCATTTAAATGCTTGTTACCAGTTATTCAGCGATCATTTAAATTGTAAATTAAAAATTGTAAATTATGCTGTTCATTTAAATTATAAATTGAATTAACAAAATTGAAGAATTCATTTTATCTTCTTTATTTGCTCTTAATTTTTCAAAATTCATTTCACAATTTATTTTAATGAATTTTAATTAAATAATTTACAGCGATATATAGATACAGAAATATACAATTTATATCTGCAGCGTAGTAAATGATGTATCATCATTTGTTGCAAACTGATGACGAAATAGAGTATAATTAATAATTTTGATTATTTCTAGTAAAATGAATTTAAAAGTGGCAATTGATTGAAAATAGCGCACAACTAATTATCGCTGTTAGCTGAATTATTTGATTAATTTAGCTGTCGTAAAACATTACATTATATTTTGCTCTAAAATTATTCCATATTTTCAATTATTCGTATATTTAAACATTTTAATATAAATAGCAATATTTAATTATTATTAAATATTTTTTGGAAATTATTTCATTTCTAATTTCACCGTGTATTATTGACTTTTGACCTCTACCTATAATTAACGCATGCAAAAAAGATTTGTTAGATTTGAAGTTTATTCATTTACCTATTTTGGAAAGCATTTAATTTCCTTCAAACATTCATTTATAAATGATTTTATTTTGTGCAATACATGACCAATTAATTAATTAATTAACTTTAGCGCCTAATGTTTTCGAAACGAAGCATAAATAACTTCGTTAAAATTTCATGAAATAATTAAAATTAATTAAGTTATCAATTTATAATGTGCTCTTAATTTTTGATTTTTTAGTAACTAATTCAAATGAATTTTTATTTTACCTATTAATTTACATCAAAATTAATTGATAATTTAATTAATGCTAATTATTTCATAAAATTACATCAATACGATTTTTCATATTTCTATCATAGCAAATAATCTTTATATTGCTTGCTGATCAGGCTCATGAAGTTTTCGCTTTCATGCTTTCATGAACTTATCAAATTGATTTTATAAAATTCAAAAATTCAAAAATCTTTGTTTCCCTAGAAATTTTATAGAGTTAAAATTTTTGTTAATCTCTTTTTAATCTAAAAAATAAAAAGTAATTTTATATCGTATGGTTTCTCGCATACCTGAAAGCATACCTGAAGAATAACTTCCTATATGGGTATTACCAAGTAATGATCGTTTAACCATAGGTAGCACAAAACTACATTTTCATTGCTATACTTCTTCTAACAGAAGAAATTAAATTCATTGAAGGAAGAAAGAATGACATGTATTTTTATCAGATTAAAATTTCAGATTAAAATTTCAGATTAAAATTTCAGGTTAAAATTTCAGATTAAAAATTTCAGATTAAAATTTCAGGTTAAAATTTCAGATTAAAAATTTCAGATTAAAATTTCAGGTTAAAATTTCAGATTAAAATTTCAGATTAAAATTTCAACTCAAATATCGCTTCTCTTCTCTTCTCTTTGCTAATGGAAAATTTTTTGAAATTCTAAACCATCGAAAAGATCTTATTTTTAAATATTTGACTAAATTATAAAACAAAAAAAAAAAAAAAAATTGTCTAGTGTAATTAAGCAAAAGGTGGCAGCATATCTATTTTCTCTCTTACAACATTACACTTTCCAAATTTCTTTCATAGCAAATTAATTTCACTACAAAATGACAGCCACATTTGAAAAACCGTTTTTTTCCTTTTCAAAAATATTTCACGTTGATAATATTTGTTTTGTTTTCTTTTTTTTTTCCACATTAAATTTTATCATTGTGCAATCAACGGCTGTCGTAATTCACCTGATCGGATAACCAAAAAGCATTTTGTGTGTGATGTATTTGATGAGCAGCTGTTTCGACAATATAATTTCGATGAATTGCTTTTTTTTTTCTATTTACTAAATTCTTCTTTTCTTTACTTAAATTTCAAATGACAGATTTTATTTCATCCTGACAGCTTTCTTTCTACGAACAATTTACTGGTTGATGATAAAATAGAGAATGATGTTTTTTTTTTTTTTATCAATTTAAATATAAGAATAATTGATTCTTTCGTGAAATGAATGTATGAATATGAATATTAAATTATTAGATAATGAATGAATCATTCTTATCATATTTTATCATAATAAGTGAAGATCATTCTTTTTATCATATCGATAATGTTGATAAATTTTGAAGATATTGCAATTGTGATTACTGATCGATTATATTTTACTATAATTAATGATATTATTATATATCATGTGAATAAAACAAGTGCTACAACAGGTGCAAAATATATTTAATAGGTTAGTGAATATTTTAATATTAACAATTTTTTTTTTTTTTTTTGTTAAATTTTTTTGCAAATAAAACATTTCAAAATTTCATTCAAATTATTTTAGGTAATTCTAATTAATTCATTAATTTTTGTGATAACGCCTATACTTTTTTTTTTTCTTTAGAATTCATAATGATATTACTAATATTGTTTGCGATTTGATAACAAGTTTATTTCAACTGATAATACTATTTAAATCATTCCATTTTTGTTTTCATTTGTATTTTTTTTCCCCTAACACATTTCAGGTGATATTTCAGGTTATTATCACTGGTGTCAAATGAAATTTCATCAATGATGGCAGTATTACAGAAATCTCATTCTCTTTCGGAAACATCAGGAGATAGAGTTGAAAAATTGCAAATACCAGTTTCTGATTTTGTTATACCAGTTAAACATTATCCAGAAATGTAAACGATTATATTTTCTTACCTGTTTATTATTTTTTAAATTCCTTCAATAATGCTTATCATAATTTTAATTTCTACACCTGTTTCTTTTTAACAAAAATTGATGTTCGCATCTTTTAACACAACTTAAATTTCATTTTCTATTTTACTGTTTATTAAGCTATTACTACGATTTTCTTTTGCAGATGTGTGGAAAATGATAATACTAATAATAATAATCGTGATGATACATCATCATCATCATCATCATCTTTTGAGGCATTTGTTTGGGATTGGCCATTTAGTGAGGATCGTACAGCAAAAGGATTTCTTTCTGATGAAAAATTTTTTGTTTGTTTACCATTTAATCAAGGTGGTACCGGTGAATCCAAAGGAACAGTATGTTTGTTTATCTTTAAAATAGAAATGATAAATTGCTGAAATGATTACTGAATTTCTCAGATAGAAATATTTTTAATTCAATTAATTATATTTTAAAACAATTGATATTTTGATGTTGCAATTTAGAATTCAACTACTATTTCACTTTTTTTTTCTATGTTAGTAGAAAGGGAAAAAAAAGATGAGAACAACTGACATTTGACAGATTTCTCGTTTTGTTTCATTTCTCGTAATAAAGAATCCTTCAACAATTTATGATTTGCAGTTGAAAAAATTTGAAAAGATCTCAGAATCAAACTTTAGTTGCATAATTGGTCTTTGCAACAATGGTTTCCTTGGAACTTGTTTTTGGCGACTTGAAATTGAAATTTTACGAAATCTTAATATGCTTGTACTTAATGCTTCAAGGTAATTTTCATTCCTCTTCGTTAATTTAATAAAACAAAAGATTAACTTTTAAAAATTAATGAAAAAATTAAAATTTCTTCTTTAAATTTTAAAGAAAAATTTTTAAGTCAAATTTTATTGAAAATTTTAAATTCTCGCAATTGCTAGAAATAAATCTCTTCTCATTCTAAGATATACGAAATAATGAATTAATGGGAAAAATTAAAATAAATATTAATTCAATTCAAATGGAAGTATAGTTTATAGTATAGTAGTAGTTAGTATACTATAGGATAGTTTTTAGTAGTTATGAAGTATAGTAGTATAGTATAGTTTATAGCATAGTATTGTTTTATAAGTATAGTTTAGATAGTTTGAATATTATAATAAATATTGATTATATATATATATATATTTTAGAGATGTTTCACGACCAGGTGAAAGAGTAAAACGTTTGAAACGTGTTCGCAAAGTATACAAATTACCGCCACATTGCGACATATCAACATTAACAACCGAAAGTTACGATTGGGCTGTTATAATTCAAGCAAATCGAAAAGATGAGAAATTTTCGAGAAAGAATCATTCGAAATTATTACAACGAAGTGTTACATTTGATAATCAAATTAGTAGAATTAAAATATAATTATATCATATAATTAATAATTAAAATTATTTAACATAATATTATTTATGTTAAATAATTATTATTATAATATTGATTATAAGACAGCTGAAGAAATTTTTTGGATGTTCGTTTCTTTTGTTTTTTGTAAACAACAAAAAAGCTTTCAATGAAATACATTAAAAGTTTATATCTTGAAATATTTCCTTTCAGAAATGAAATCTCGTGGGAATTTTATTGCCTAAATTAAACGAAAACAAATAAAAAGAATATTTGATATGTTACTTTGATCTTTCCTTTGAAGTTCTTTTTCTTGTAAATTCAATTCTTCCTTTTCTTTTTTTCTCAATAATTTTTATGTTATTTATAAAAAGAATCAATAACTTTAAAATATATTGATAAGTTGAAATTTTGAAAATTTATAATCTAAAAATTTATTGGTATATTCTGAGTTATCCCAAAAGAAATGGTCCCTAAAGTTTCATTTACTATATTCTGAGTTATCCCAAAAGAAATGGTCCCTAAAGTTTCATTTACTATATTCTGAGTTATCCTAAAAGAAATAATCTTAAAGTTTCATTCCTATATCCTAAGTTATCCCATTTACTATATTCTGAGTTATCCCAAAAGGAATGGTCTTAAAGTTTCATTTACTATATTCTGAGTTATCCCAAAAGAAATAGTCTTAAAGTTTCATTTACTATATTCTGAGTTATCCCAAAAGAAATGGTCCCTAAAGTTTCATTTACTATATTCTGAGTTATCTCAAAAGAAATAGTCCCTAAAGTTTCATTTACTATATTCCGAGTTATCCCAAAAGAAATAGTCTTAAAGTTTCATTTACTATATTCTGAGTTATCCCAAAAGAAATAGTCTTAAAGTTTCATTTACTATATTCTGAGTTATCCCAAAAGAAATAGTCTTAAAGTTTCATTTACTACATTCTGAGTTATCCCAAAAGAAATGGTCCCTAAAGTTTCATTTACTATATTCTGAGTTATCCCAAAAGAAATAGTCTTAAAGTTTTCAATCGATAAACTTATCGGATGTTGACAGATTTTTTTTCGTATTCCATTGTTGACTTTGAAATTCGTTTAATTTCAAAATACATTAAAAGTTATATCTTTAAAATATTTCCTTTCGTTGTCTCATTTATATTTGTTACCTCAAAAAAATTCAATAATTAATTATTTCACAAAAAACAATTATTTATAGACTTGAAAAACGAAACATTTGAATGGGAAGGAATTCGTCGTTCAAATAGTTCGTTGTACATTTGTGCTATGCAGAAGTTTTAAATGATAAATTCGTATTGAGTTAAATCTTTTACAAATGAATTTAATTAAATTAATAAACAGGTAAACTATGTTTAATTATGATTATTGAGCAATAAAATCTATATGATTGAAAAAATTATAATCACTTTCTAACATAATAATTTTTTTTTTTTTTTTTTGATAAATTTATATGGAAAAGCTGAAATGATATCAATAATTGCATATTCCAATGCTATCAATATTTTTGAATATCATTAAATTCATCGAACAAATATGAATATACTACTATTCTCGTCGAAAAAAATCAATAAATTATCATCGATTATTTATCATTTGAGGAATTTATTGAATAAATGAATGCTGTTAATCCTTGAGGTAATGATACCAGTATGCAATATTAAATACACTGAATAACGTTGGAAATAATATTGCTGATAGCTTATCAATATACTGTGTTGCTTGCTCCTAAAACAAACAATACTATATGAAAATTTAAAAAAGAAATTATTAATGTAATAATTTGATAAATGGAATATATCAGGATTATCCGATTCGATTGTATTGTGCAGAATATTTGCAGATAGAATAATCGGTAAAACAGGTAAGGTATATGCTCGGATAATTCCTGTATATGCTGCATATATTCTTGGAAATTCCTAATGAGATCAGAGATAACTAACTTATTATGTCACTTACGACAATACCACAATCATTATGAATTTGATTATCGTAATAACTATAATTTGATTATCTTAGTAATTATATAGATTGCTGTAAAATCGAATTTGACCGGTAGGAAAAAAATCATATAATTTCGAATGAATTCATACTAAAATGAAATGGAAATAAAATGAGGGGAAAATTCTATGAAATTCACTGACCGTAAAATTTAAATCAATATATATATTGATTAAAATTAAAATATGATATATTAATGATATAAAAAAATAAAAGTAATGATAAAGTAAAGTAATGATATATTTCAGTAATGATATATAATAAAGTAATGATATATGATATATAAAAGTAATAAAAAAATAAAGATAATGATATATTAAAATATGATGCACCCTTTGTTTGATAAGTGTAGTGGGATCACACGACGATGTTGGAATTGGTGAATAAGATTTTGTATTTGGTATTGGTTCTTGTTGTAAGCAACTACATGGACCAGCTATTGAAGCTACTGTTGCTTTCAAATGATCATTGAGACCATAACCAGGTGGTATGTAACCATAATCATTACCACGTGCAAAACTTATCAAGGCATTCTCTTCTTCATTCACTGGCCTTCGTCTGTAATATACACATCATTTCACGTAAATATCAACTGATTACAGTCATTTCACGTAAATATCAACTGATTAGAATCATTTCACGTAAATATCAATTGATTAGAATCATTTCACGTAAATATCAACTGATTAGAATTATATCACGTAAATATCAACTGATTAGAATCATTTCACGTAAATATCAATTGATTAGAATCATTTCACATAAATGTCAACTGATTAGAATCATTTCACATAAATATCAACTGATTAAAATTTCACTCAATGATTAAATTCATCAATGTTTAATTTAAATTAAAAAAAAAAGTAAAAAGATTAGGAGATACTTTTGAATATTCAAAATACATAACTAATCGAAATTTATTACTTGATAAAATAAGATATGTAATATCTGCAAAAAAATTCTAACCTAGGAAGTAAAGAATTAGTTTCATAACGATGATGATATACTAACTTGATGCTATCATCATCCTGTTGTACTGTTGGTGATATTTTTGCTATTACCGGTTTTAATGCATCCAATTCTTCTCGGCTCAAATAACCAACCCAAGCAAGTTCTAACAGAGAGCAAAAAACGAATGTCATACAACTTAACACTCTAGAAAACCAAAATTTTTCAAAGAAAACTTGTGTAATCAGTCAGCTTTCAAAAATACTTCCACACAAAGATGAGATGTAGCGACATGCTGTCATTACGAAAACCAAATATACGACGATTAATAAA